GGCTTATGTTCAGAACGATATGTATATGGCCAATACAAGTCCAATACATGGAACAATTAATGTCAGGATTAGACATTTTCCTCTTCAGCAGCTGGAGATTCTATCAGTAACAGCACTTCCTATTGCAGGCAGACAACGTTAAGCCAATGCTCAGGGCCGCCATCAGGGCGGGCGGCGGATACTCAAGTGAGGGGCCCGGCAGCCTAGAAGGCCGGGGACCCTTACATGGGTATCGGCCATGCAGGTGACAGGGGAGGAGGTGGAGGCGGCCGGGCCCCTGCAGCGCCGGACCGCCAGCAGCGCCAGGATAGTGGCAAGAGATGGTGGGGGCGTGGGGCGCCAGGCGGCTGACGCCCGGCAGTGAGGAGAGACACGGGTGGGAGGCGAAAATACAGCAGCCTGCAGGCACACTCTGGTGCAGCGCTGGGGCCTTGGCTGGGAGGAAAGAGTGAGCAGCCACTAGATTACAGAGCCCACCACCTCTCCCTGATGCATGTGTTGTTCACTTTATTTATATTAATATTGTAGCGCCTATATAGATGAATATATGTGCTATTGTATTGATCAGTAATTCTGGCTGCAAACAGTTAATTGCCTCTGTGTGAGACGAAGAGAGACAGAGATTTATGGGGATTGCAGTGCAGAGCAGAGATTCACACACTGCTGAGAGGACCTTGAGAACTGCAACTCCCAGGATACTGTGCGAGAGGGAAGGGGATGGCTTTGGACAGGGGAGGCTGAGCGCGCTCAGTCTGGCACCGGGACCTGAAGTGTGCGGATCGACATAGAACTGTGCGCGAGTTGGCACTGCCTGCGATGGAGTGTGTGGTCGCTCTTAATAGACTGAGAGACCCAGATTCTGTGTTGCCATGCTGGAGAGACATTCTGTTCGTCTGTGAGACGAAGGGACCGAGAACGGGTGCCTGAATGTGGGCCGAGTCCAGCGGCGGGGACATTGCGGCCTGGCCGGAGGAGCTGATCCAGCCTGGGAGTGATCTAGGCAGCCCAGCAGAGCGAACAGAATCGAGTGGAGATCGTTACCGGAAGCCCAAGATGACCCTAGACGTGCAGTGAGGTGTTCCAAGAAACCCTAGACGAGCGGTGATGAGCTGCAAAGGACCCTAGATGACATCATCTCTTTCCTAAGTGTCATTTCGCCAGAAGAGAGACATACAGTATATAAAGCTGCTGAAAGACATCATCCTGTGCAGAACAACCCTGGGAGTGGTGAGAAGCCTATGGCCAATGTGACTATGTCCATTTTTTTATCCGATTAACCGATTAATCGAACTTAATAATCGGCTAACTAATCGATTTTGAAAATAATCCTTAGCTGCAGCTCTAGTAGCTGGGCTGTAGTCAGCCTGAGCTCTGAATTGTTATAATTCTGCTTTCATTGGGTTTTACCTAACCTTAGATTATTGCTTAATTCTGACAGCTGTTAGGGGGTGTCCCTGTCAATGGAGACAGAAGATAAAATACTTCAGAGAATATTTTTGTCTCCCTGGCTAACAACTAAGAAGATTATTGGCAGTGGTGCATGGCGAGGATGGATATACCTTGCAGAAAGGCTCTTGTCTCCTAGCTACAGTCAGAAGAGAAGGCTTTGTTGGAGGTATTTACCTCCCAGGCCTGCTGCCTGGGGAAAGTGATACTGAAAGAGTAGGCCTGTGTCTTAAGGGTCTGGACATTTTATGCAGCCTTGCTGGAGGAGTTGCATTTTTGTTGCGTGGCCAGCCGCATAACAGTAGCTGCATGAGAAGGATCTGGAAAAAACGCCTAAGCAACAAATCCGGAACTCATACAGCAGCCTTTCCAGTCCCACAACTTCCCTGATGTCAGAATCAATGGCCTTAGGAGGAAAAGAGAGGACAAGCTTTGCTGCAAAGATGGTGCCAGCAGCTTACACTTGCAGAGACAACGGCACCAACCTGTGGGGAGAAATAATCAGTAGTCCTCATCAGGGAGACAGCAACAGCGGGAACTCCAGCCCCCGCAGTTGAGGGGAGAGGGGAGAGGGGAGAGAGGTGAGTGCCAACCATCACAGGACCGAGGATCAGGTGAGTATATCTTCTTTATTTTTGCACCTAGATGAGCAGTGCACTTAACTCTGGCAGTTAGTTTGAAAAAACAAACAAATTGCTTCTTTATGTTGAGCAATATAGAGCATTCATGGGAGGACACTAGGGAGTTTAATCCCTTTCCCCACTTCAGACACCACCCTAAAAATGTGCTTCTATCACTCAGAAGCTCCTTACATATTGATATGTTATCTATGCTGAAACCACTTCAAGGTGTTCTCTCTGAGATGGCCGATAGGGTAGACCACATTGAACAGAAGATGTGGGAATTTAGGGGCATTCCTGAGTCGGTCTCCCTGGCATAATTGAAACAGAATATTCAAGACATGATTTATCACTTGCTTCCCTCAGTCCATATAAATTGCCCATATGAATTTGCTATTGATAGGGACCACAGGCTGCCAAAGCAACCTTTCATCGCAGATAAATGCGCCCCTGGCCAGAAAATTGATGGCTATTGCTAGGTGAGGTATGCCACTGCCAGGCAATTATGTGAGCATAGCACTCTATGCTTATTTGTTGCAAACCACTATACAAGGAAGGAAAATATTGATACCTGTTACAAAACAGCGTCACCACAACAAGATAACATATCATTGGGGCTTCCCGGTCAAGCTTAAAGGAGAATTATGAGGCGAGTGATTCTCACTCAGCCTCATAATCTGAGCCGACCTGTGACAATGAAACTGTCACCGGTCGGCTCAGTAGATCGGGAAGTGAGCGAACACATACCGTCACTCGCTCACTTCTCGATCTATCCGTGCAGAGAGCAGTGACTGTCACTCACGGCTCCCTGCAGGGATTCCCCCCTCCCCTGTCCGATCCTCCAGCGCTGACTGGCGGAACGGACTTACAGCTGGCTCTGCCTCTAGATAGGCAGAGCCAGCTGTCACTCATGCAGCAGGGTAGATCCAGACAGCATTGTCGGGATCCATTCCGGCTGCGGCGTCTCAGTATACCGCGAGTTGTAGCTCACGGTATACTGAGCTTTGGGTGACGGGAGGACGTTAGTTTGTGTCCTCCCGTTACCCTTAGGAGAACTATGGGGAAAAGCACTGACCCCATAGTTCTCCTTTAATATAATAAAAAATGGTAAATCCCACGTAGTCACTTTGACTGAAGAGGGTTTAAACTACTGAAATGTGGTGTTAAAATGGAAAATTCCCAGACCTGTGACAATACTTACAGAGTTATTCACAAATTGGTGAAGAGTTTGGAGAAGGCAGGAGAAGTGAACAATCTAGGACAAAATAGCTGATTTGGAAAAATTCTCCAATTCAGCTCAATTTCCAGTCCAGTTATGTTGTCCTATATTGTTCACTTCTTCTGCGTTCTCCAAGCCCTTCACCCTTTTGTGAATAACCCTGTAAATCACCAGCGCAAACCCTATCTAAACCACAAGATGTCTGACTGACCATATGAATTTTGTGCCCTCAAAGCTTTGATCATATATGGTTCACAACAAACACGCTCTTTGGCTTGGTTAAAGTGACACTAAACTCAGGAGTTAGATTTTAAAAATGCACTTACCCTAACCCTAACTATTAACAAAAATGTATCTTATTTGTGTAGCACTCGGCTGTAGATCCTCAAATCATCTCTGAATTGGTGCTGACACTGTCCTTCCTAATGCAGGGTGGCTACTTTTGTTGCCCATGGATCCTGTGTGTGTTGTAAAGTAGCTACCACTCTAAGCTCACTCACATGATGATAAAGGCGCTGGGCACATTCATGGGCGGCAGAGAGCCCAAGCAGGAACGCAGCCAGTCTTCACCCCCTTCAGCGGAGGCACGATGAAGCACTTCGTTGAGCAAAGAATCCATCCTCAGGCAAGTTGTGTTGCAGACGATCACTGCTGAAGAGAGCTTCTGACCGTAAACATTTAAAGGTGAGTCCCGCAACTGATTGGTTGTTTACTTTTCCCTCCAAAACTTAGGTAACTAATCACGACCACCTTATTTCCAAAGATCTTCCTAGCGACAGCCATCTCCAGGCAGAATTGACATGACACTATTAAGGGCACCTGGAAACAGACAAATGGGAAACCAGAAATAGCCCAATGGAAAATTCCAGAGGACTGTACCTTATCGTGACTAAAACTATTGTTGGATTAAAATAATTTAATTGAATTAAGTGGGTGCAGGGGATGACACAATCCCATGGGGCCACTTCATTATATTTGTGGCCCTGACATTATCAGTGCCTTCAGGGGGACAGCAGTCGGTAAAGTATGGTACTGGAGTGCTCCCTGTCACTGCGCTGTCTGGAGGGAGTCCCCTGTCGTCCCCTTAATACAGTATGTCCCTGCAGGCTGATACCATGTCTCCTGCAAGTTCCCCCTCACATGCTACCACCAAACTAGGTCTTATTTTCGGGGTAGGTCTTATACTACAGGAATCTTGAAAAATAGTGCTAGGTCTTACTTTCGGGGTAGGTCTTATTTTCAGGGAAACAGGGTATGAGGCTCTCTTTAGTTTAATATCTTGCTGCTATTGTGTGTACAATGGCATATAGTCAATAAAGAAAAATTTCCATTAAAACAAACCAAAAAAGAATTCCATGCTGAGATTTGACATGTTAGCCCCCTAAGCTGTCTGCGGGTCCTCACGAGCCTCCCAGGGGTAAGGGAGTGCTGCACATGTTTTGAAGAAGTAGTGTTTATAAACAACTGATGCAGAATATATAAATTTGATTATATCTACATGCATGAGGAATGAGAAGGTTCATTTTTCAATTTAAAAATAATAATTATATATCAGTTCTTTACTACAGTAAGCTTGTAGTACTACAGGAAGCTTGTAGTTCCTTTTCCCTTATGTATGTTATTTTCCTCCTTATACAGAAATAATCTCAGTCGAGCTTTAGGTAGTGCATCTGTTTACATCCAATTACCCCAGACTCTGTCTAGCAGTGGTGTCCCTAGCCTTTCTTCTGCCCGAGCAAGAAATAGTGATGGTGCATGCCGCCCTCTGCAAGCTCTGTAGATAAAATATAAGACGAAGGGTCGGCATTGGCGTTCCTTAACTACAAAGAATGTAACAAAAAATGCAAACTAGAAATCCGGGCAGCTAAAACTGAGTGCGAAAAGCATATCGCCGCAGATAGTAAAAAGAACCCCAAAAAATTATACCACTATATTAACA